GAATTCCTCCAATGGGCTTCATTTGCCCCTTGGAGGAATTCTTACTTCATTCCTATTTAGCTTTAGGTCCTGTAAGGAAACTGACAACTGGAGGCCTTTGCAAATAGCTCAAAGCAACTAAGCAAGTGCTTCATTAATTTTCCCTCTTCTTTTTATCATGGGACCAGGTGGAATGCAAAGTGCCAAGCTGTTGATTTTTTCCTCCTTTCCTCTTGTGTGAAATGAAGGTAAAAGGATTATTGTGCTACATTATCTGTAGCAGTCTGGACAAGATAGTTTTGGTTTTTTTTACTCCTCTATTCTCAGCATTTGAAGTTTGTAGAAATGAAGTTAACCATCTACAAACACTTTGAACTGATAAGATTTTTTATTTTTTTACTAAAGGCTTACCCCATTATTTGTCTGGAAAACTTCTTGCATCAGTTAACTTATAGCACCATGTGTAAGTCTGGAGAGTTCATTGAAATAAGCCAATTTTGGTTTTAATAATACATTGCCCTGCTATCACCAAAGAATTAACTAACTTAACTGTGTGTCAAAGTATGTGTTTATTGACTTTTTTTCTCACAATTATCCAGTCAGTGATCAGTAGGTCAAGATTACTATAGCCTTCTCTGTTTGTTTTCCTCTTCCTCTTAATGTTTTGTGCCATGGAATGCAGTATCTTCTGAGGTCACAAAAAGTTCTCAGTCTTCAATTATTGTTATAATGGAGAAACAAATATGTGCTGATACTATGATTTATTCTTTGGATGAGAGGTTGTTAGCAAGTTTCTGATTCCATAGCATTGAGTAGGAGGTTTAGCAACCCTTTGGATTTGCTATACTTCATATTGGGTCAGAGTCTCACATATCTGTTGTCTTTCCTTTTTCTTTCAAAGAATGTAATGTTCTCTTTATCTTGTACATCCAAATGGACACATGCTTACTGACAGAAATATTTCTTTTTGATAATACTCACTTATGCTTAATAAAGAATTACTTCCATCTTATGTGTGCCAGACAAGTTCATTGAATAATATCTTTAGGTTATACATATAAATATATTTGTATATGTATAACCTTTCTATAAAGCAGTAAAAATATATTTCTCCCTAATGTAATGGTATTCTGTTAGAGCCCCATGTACGGCGAGTATTAAAAATGAAAATAAAAACATGTTTTCATATTTACTCTCATTATATTGTCTGCATTTTATGCTTTTATGGTCAGTAAGTATCTTTATTCAGACAAAAAAAATGGATATACATATATAAATAAAACCTCAGACAAAATACAATATTTTTGATTTGATGTAACTTGATATATTAGATAAATCTCTTTTCAGGAAGAGATACCAATGTATTGGTTTATGTGAAAAGAAGACTAGCTATGTGTGCAAGGAAGCTTGGAAGAATTAAAGAAGCAGCAAAAATGATGAGGGATGTAAGTAAGATAGAAAAAAATTGATTATTTGTAGAGTAGAATTCAAAAAATAGTATTTTTTTACATTTTCTTCTCATTTAAGTGGTTTAATTTATTAGGAAAAATAGGATCTTTAGTGTACTGTGATTAAAAATTAATTATGATTATGATTTATATTTTAATTTGCATACTAAGGGCAAGTAAATTGAACTTAAAACATTTCCAGGATGATCAAATTAATCAGTTTTGAATATGAAACAGCTGCAATGAATTTGGAATAACAGTTTTTGAAATTATTTATTGTACTTCTGTCTGCCACAATCAAAATGACTGTCATCAGCTTACCGTCTACATAACTTAAAAACAGATTTTTGAATTCACAGTATTTTGCATACCACTATTGCATATGAATATTTTTTAAAAGTCATTATGAAGGTGGTGGCCTCTACCTTCTGATTTATTTGGATGATAAGGATTATCAGGACCCACTTCAGGACATCTCCATTCCAGGACTTGTCCAATTAGATGATGTTTGCTTGTTTTGAGAGCTGAGTTGGCTTTTTCTGACTTTGCCAGTTTAAATGAAACCAGATCACAGCTTATCTTTTCTCTTGTAATGGTTGAGCTTGTGTGCAGTACAGCTGTATGTTGGCAAGAACTATTGCCCTCTCTTGCTTCTCAGCTTCTGGCACTGAAAAAAAAACATTGCAAATTTGTGTTCTAACCCCAGGGATGTTTACTTCAGAGTGGATTTTACTGAATTTAGTGAATTAGCTATATATTCTTGATTTTGTTAAAGTCTTACAGTTGTTTTTACCAAGAAGTATAAATGGTCTTAAAAATATTTTCCTCTATCCTTTTTACAGTTAATGAAAGAATTTCCTGTCCTAAGTGTACTGAATATCCACGAAAACCTCCTAGAAACACTTCTGGAGCTACAGGCTTATGCTGATGTCCAGGCAGTTCTAGCAAAGTATGATGGTAAGAATGTATAATTATTTTTGCAGAGTATATGATAGTTTATGTGTCTGCATTAGAAACATTTATGAATCATTAGGTGTCCCTTCATTTTGTAATGTTAGGCTATTAAAAGTAATTATTGGAAAGGGCACAGTGGACTAGGTAGATCAATGGCGGGGAATTTCCAGCATCCCAGTCACTGGCAAAACTGCAAATAGCTGATGTGGAGTCATAAATAAACCCTTTCCAGCTCCTGGTGGTATATCAAGATGAAACAGGTTACTTGAAATGTAAAAAAACATCCTGTAAATGCTAAATAAGTACAGGTAGTCCTCAGAATATCACCATTTGTTCAGCAACCATTCAAAGTTACAACGGCGCTGAATGAATGGTACTTACAATAGGTATTCAGCGTTCCAGCTGTCACAGTGTCCCTGCGGTCACATGATTGTGATTTCCAATGTTCCCTGCCAACTTCCCACAAGCAAAGTCAATTGGGAAGCCAGGAAGAAGTCAGAAGTTGCAATCGCATGAGGTCCTCACTTAACAACAGCAACTGGGATTGCCGGAATTGCTGTTGCTAAGCAATGTGGTCATGTGATATCGTATTTTACAATCTCGTTGCTTAGTGACAGAAATTCCAGTCCCAATTGCTGTCATAAGCCAAGGACTACCTGTATTCTAAAATAAATTATTATGTTCCTGATTAAGTAAAAGGCAAAGAGCATTGCTCAGTGGGAAAGCATGTCCATAATGTATATTAAATTCAAGTCTCAATTTATAGTACCTCTGGCAAGCAGATAAACATGTTCTGAGATTCTGAAAAGCTGCTGCAATTCAGATAGGCTAGACTTACAATTTATTGGATTCTGTATTGTCCAACAATCTATAATAGCCTGGTTCACATAATAATAATCATTGGATTCTCAAATCACATTTTTCCAATAACCAAGCCCATTATGACAATGGAATATTAGCCATAGATATTATCCACCTTGTGTTTTGAAAAAATATTTTTTAAATTTAAAATGTTGACATTTTGCAAGATTACTGAAAATTTCTGAGGGGTATCCAGCACCTGAAAATATTACATATTCTTAGGCTAGTATTATTATGAACCAGGCCACTATTTGTCAGATCTCTTTATATTGCAAAAGAAGATTGAGTAATTAAGTGTTTCGATTAGCATGGAATGGTTTAGTAAAGCCTAAAGGAGGTTTTTAATGCCTTCATACTGAAGCACTGTGGCTCCTGTGCCTGAAACAGGAGCATGCATTTAGTGAGGGAAGAGAATGCATGTGACTGGGTTTTTGCACAGTGCAATTTTTTTTTGCTGTGTTTTGTTTTCTTTTTCTTTTTTCCAGTAAGCTTAAAATCTGGGTAGTCCCTGGTTAAGAACACCCAGGTTACAGATGACCCATAGTTAAGAACAGAGCCTATTGTAGCAAAATTTGAGTTAAATGCACAATGATTTGAGTTAACACCCAGGTTACAGATGACCCATAGTTAAGAACAGAGCCTATTGTAGCAAAATTTGAGTTAAATGCACAATGATTTGAGTTAACACCCAGGTTACAGATGACCCATAGTTAAGAACAGAGCCTATTGTAGCAAAATTTGAGTTAAATGCACAATGATTTGAGTTAAATACACAATGATTTGAGTTAAATACACAATGGTTCAAGTTAATTAACAATACTACTTATACAGTATTATACAGTATTAAACAATAATACTGTTCGGGCTTCCATACAAATTCGACTTAAGGGCAGACCTTGGGAATGGAACTCTTTCTTAAACTGGGGACTACCTGCATCTATTTTAATCTTGTGTTGCAGTGCCTTACAGGAGTAAGGCTGTAACCCCTTATGGCAAGGGTGGGTAATCTGCAGCCCCAGGATTTTTTTTTTTCCTGAACCTTAATGTTCCTTTCAGCCATGCTGCTGAATTTTGTTTGCATGACCAAAATTTAATGGTACAGTTTGGTGCCTTTTTTTTTTTTAAAGATATCCCTCCTCACACACACACCCCAAAAAAGAAAATTCTGGCCCTGTTCACGGTCCATAATTGCTCTATCCTACTGTAGTCCTTGGCAGCCCTTCAAAAGTTGTCCAGTCCTGCCTTGGAGAAAGGCTTGGTTCTGTCATAGCCACTGTATTTGCATTGGCTCCCAAGACTAGCAACTTTGAAAAATGAAGAGAAGTAGACAAAAGGCAAGAAACAATTGCCAAGACATACTTTTCTGGGAATTGTAAGTTCAGTTGTAAGGAAAGAAGCAATTAAGATATTTATTTGTGGGTTCAGTAGATAAGAGAAAGCAGTAAATAGTGGGAATGGGAGGGGTAGAAAGATCATGTAGGGGAGAAAATTAGGTGATGGTGACTGTTTGAAGTAGGGAAGGTTCTTGTGGGTATGTGAATATTGGGAACACTTACATATTTATGAAGCAAAAACACTGACTGTGTAGATCTTTAGTGTATATGAATTATCCAGAAGAATAAAAGTTATAGATAATATGAAGCTGTGAAGCAAGATAGTAATTCGCACTCATTAAAAGAATAGAATATAGATCATGCATTTTTTCATTGTTGTACCTATAAATCAAGTCATAACATCAAGGGAAATTTATTTTAAAACTATATATGGCCTACTATTGTAAAGCCCCTTCTCTTTGGGTAGATTACTTAAACATACCAAAAGCTCCTTAGGCCTACAGCTTTTGGGCTCTGAATTTTTGTTCTGAAATTCATTATTAATTATTACTATATTCATTGCTACTGCATTTATATCCTGACTTTTCTCTTGGGGGTTCAAGGTTGTATATAGTTTTTACTTCTACAACATGAACTGGTGAGATAGGTTAAACTGAGAAAGAATAACTGCTCAGAGTAACTCAGTGAGCTCTGTGGTCAACTGGAGACTTGAATCTCTTCAGTTCAAGACTGAGTGGCTGTGGTCTTTACCCCCCCCCCCCCCGATCTTGTGATCTTCTGTCATTAGTTTTGGATGGGGTAACACTTCCCCAGACTTGGTGCACAATCTGGGAGTCCTCTGGGACTTATTCCTTGAGCAGTGGCAGCTGTGACCAGGGGGGGCTTTGTACAAATATATCTTGTGCACCACTTGTACCCATTCCTAGATTGGGAGGCACTGCTCATGGTCACTCATGCCCTAATCACCTACTAGTTGGACTACTGCAATGCACTCTACGTAAATCTACCTTTGAAAAGCATTCAGAAGCTTTAGCTGGTCCAGAATGATGCAACTCATGCAGTATTGGATGTACCCTGTAATGCTACTGCTGGATGAGCTGTGCTGGCTCCCAGTAGGCTTCCAGGTGTAATTCAGGGTACGTGGAGCCAGATTATTTTCATGATTGACAGTGCCCAATGGTTTCTGCCTGTCACACTAAATCCAGTAGAGTGGGCATGCTTTGGGTTCCTTTGGTAAAATAGTATTCCCTGGTGGGTCCTTGGAAGCCAGGCTTCTTGATTATAGTACCTGCCTTATGAAACAGCCTCATTCCAGAGATTTGGAAGGCCCCAACCCAGTTGATCTTTGGAAAGCCATGAAGACTTGACTTTTCCCTTAGGCCCTGGTACAGGGATGTTAATGGAGTTTGGTGCCTGTAGGGGGACATGTTGATAAGATGCTTTTTACAGTGGCCTAAACTTGATTTTTTAATGATTATGTCGTGTATTATGTTTTATCTTTTGTTCACCGCTCAGACTTCCATTGGTAGATGGGTAGCTATATAAATTTATTAAATAAATCAATCTCCCCAGCCCAAACCTAATATGTTAACTGCAACACTACCTTGGCTGTATATACTAAACATGGAAATATTGTATGAAGTATATGATTAATTTTTCTCCTTCAGATTTTAATCTTTCATATATCTAATATATAGATAATCCCCAGTATAAATTATTGTTCTCAGGGGGAACGATTTTAAAATGTTTCTTACTTTAGGATCTAAAGACAACAATTTATTGTTCCATAGATATCAGCCTTCCAAAATCAGCAGCAATATGTTACACAGCAGCACTCTTAAAAGCTAGAGCAGTTTCAGATAGGTAAGTGAAATATTTGAAAGGAATATTGATATACAGTAACACATTTTCATTGTTGTGTCCATTGAAAAGTCATGGCAGTTTTGTTTCCAGATTGATATAAAGGATAACATAAATCATTATTTGACTTCTATTGTCTGCTTTTTAAAAATTCAATATAGCAGTTACTATAGTTATTTACAAATGGTTCTATAATAATGGCTTTTCTATACGGCAAATCTTTGTCATTACAACTTTCTTTCCATATTGCTGCCAAACAGCAATTGAAATATAGAAATATGCAGTGTTTAGGCAGATGCATCCAGTTGTTGTCACATATAGCAGATACCCATACAAATTATTTTCCAAACAACCAGTTAGAAACCATAATATGGGAACTGACAAAGCCAATTACAAATATTTGGTTTTCTAGTTTCTTACTCTGAATTGCCAGTTGCCTTTCCCAGAGCTTTACCATTTTATTCAAGCCAAAGGCTACATTTAACCTTTGAGTGAAATGCTGGGAGCAGCATTCAAAAGGGGGTAAAAAGTAACAACATTAAATTGATTTGATTAAATGTAAATGTAAATAAAATTACTTAAATAGTTGATACACTCTCCATATATATAAAATTAAAATTCAGAGCAATTTTTGTAGGGCTTTGGAGGCGACACCTAAAATTTTGGGTGCCATTTTGCTTTCTAGGGATATAGCCAGATAGCTGAGACAATGTATAGTAATTAAAAATTAACTTTGATTTAGCTTTCCTGGCTAGCGCACTTCATATTCAGCTATATATTACATTTATTTATTCAATAACCCATTGAACAGCCAAAAATAGGTAGAATTGCAAAACACTTACCATACTTGACACACCACAATGACTGGATTCTTACAACATATTAAACCAAACAAACTTCAGTAATATTTTGTCTGAAGCAGTCTGTGAAGTGAGGAAAGCTTCATGCATCTGAGAAGCACATCCATTTTCATCTGACAAGTAGAAACAGTGCTTAGTTTTTTATTAGATTACAGTTTTCTGGTATAAGGATATTAACATTGCTAATTTGAACTTTTGCTCCCGTTATTTTCCCCTCATTGCTTTATCTTTTAAAATGCTAGATTATGGATTGCTTCTGTTTTTGTAACATAACAAACTTTTGAATGTTGCTGTAGGTTTTCTCCAGAAACAGCTTCTAGAAGGGGACTTAGCACAGCAGAAATTAATGCCGTAGAAGCAATACATAGAGCAGTTGAATTTAACCCTCATGTTCCAAAGGTAAGTGCATCCCTAATGATCCCTCATGTTCCCTAATAAGGTAAGCCAATTAAAATATTTATTTTACTGTTTTTCTGATCTGCTCTATTCATAAGGCTCTGAGTAGATTGCAATGCTTTAAAATTATTAAACAATAATAATAAATCACCTCTCCCCCAAGAAAGAAGTGCTGATTAAGTGCTAATAACACTTAACTAGTACTGAAGGCTTAGTGAAATAAAACTGTCTTCAATGATCTTCTAAATGACATAAGAATTTACCTGTGTGTTTTGTAGATTTTTCTAATCATTTCCCTACATAATATATTGAGTATGAAATATTACTAGGAAAACATGAATCTGTCATGTAGCAAAAAAACCAGTAGGAGAGTAACTGGAGTGGGTGAAAAGTCCCCTTCCACTGTTAATTTTGAAGGGTTTTTTTTTTCTGAAAACACTCTCTGATAATGAAAGTGAGCTTACGTGGAGAAGAGCCACTAAAGAGTTGTATGTTTGTGTAACTGTAACATATATATATCTGTAGAATTAAATAGAACTTGTATACATTTCATAGAAGGCATTCCCATCCATATCATCCCAAATATCTGAGAATAATGTTCACCCTTATAAAGCAAAGAAACATTTTTTATTGGATCCCTGAAAAGTTTTAGACTTGTTTATTACCAATCTGTCTGGTCAGTCTAGCTACTTGAAAAATTTCTAAGTCTTTCTGCCAAGGAACTCATCTCAGCTATAGGCAGAAAAATTAGAGGGGAAGAATGTTTTTGATTTATTCTCTTATCGTAACAACTCTTCAGACCTGCCTGAAAGGAAGGTTTACTGAGGAATTCCTTTTTGTAGCCATGCGGTCAATATCAATATCAAACCACATTTTAGTTTTGGAGTGATAGGAGGAGAGAGTAGCTATTGAGTAGCTGAGAGTAGCTTCCATTATAGTAGCTGCTTCTCCCGCCTCAATATCAGATTGCTCACAGAACCCGCTTATTCATAACAGTGCCAAAGTAATCCAATCCTTGCATTGGTAATCCCAGCCAGCTTAACAGGGAAAGCTACTCAGCTGATCAGGGATAAGCTGATAACAGATGGCAGCTTGACAGGATAGGAAGTCCACTTCCAAAACACATCAGTACAAAGAAATGTAGTCTCACTGTGAGTCAATGCTGCTGTTCAGCCAGCTGAAGTTGAAGGCTAAATGATTGACCATGAAAGCACTATCAGACTAAATGTGATGAAACCACTTACCAGCATAGACAACTTTACAACAAAGCCCATTAAAATCATTAGATCGAATCCAGGAGACAACTTGGGCAAAAAACAAGAGGAAGGAGGAGAACCACCATAATATACTCCCACGTTCAACCCCCTGAGGCAGTCCATGGTCAAAGATATTGAAGGCTATTGAATGATCAAGAAAGACCAGGATGGATGCATTCCTCCCATCTCAACTCCACCAAAGAGCATCAGCAGGCACAACCAATGATGTCCTAGTACTGTATCCCAGTCTAAAATCAGACTGGAAAGGGTCTAGATAATCTGCTTCCTCCTTTGGTCCTGACTGACTTCTATGGTTGGAGACAGGACAAAAGTTACCCAATTCTGTTGGATCAAGCAATGGCTTCTTGTGAGACAGTCCCCACTCTCAAGAATGCATTTACCACTGCATGGATCCATCCAATCTTAGTAGTTGTTCATCCTTCTTTGAGAACCATGTGAACAGAAAAACTGGAAGATTATCAGTTAGCATTATTTTGGACGGTTTCATTGGTAGGCAATAGTGCAATGTATAATGCAGAGTTTAGAGTTAAAAATTACTTCTCCAGGAAAGAAAAAATTGCTTTAGTATGCTTTAATTAGCTTTTCTCTCCCAATAATGCAGTTTAAGACTTTTTTTTTTTTGGTCTAATAGGTACTGAAAACTTTTTCTAAATTGTAGGATTTTATCCAGTTATGGATTAACTATATCAGATACGTTAAGGAATAAGAAACAGATGGATTTAGTTATTGTTGTTTCATCCTTTTGTTGTAACTGTGATATGCCAAATGAAAAGATTACCAAAATGAAATGGAAGTATTTTACATGCAATAGTTTTGATTATTCCTTGTGAGTGTAGAAGTTCTGCATGATAACTTGACTTTTGCTTTATGAGTAGACTAGTATCTTTTTTTCAAAGCAGAACACTGGCACTTTAAGATGTTTCTGTTCTTACTCTCCGCTGAATTTGTATGCTTACTGCTGTTCTGAATAGCAAGTCATAAATTAAAAGGTCTCCCTTTCCCTTCTAAATGTCTTAGATGCTTGCGAGGAGTGAACCACTATGAGCAGCTATAATGTTGAGAAGTTTCTAACCTGACATGTCCAAAGGGTTCAAAAGAGCATTGGTGCTAGGGCTTAGATCCCAACAGAGTTAAACAAGAATTGAAAGAAGCATTTGAAAATAATGCCACTTGGCACGAGGCTATCTAAGGATAGAAATGTTCTTTTTAAAAATATTTTTTCTTTTGGTGTGTTACTTGTTTTGGCTGAAAGTTGTTTCAGGCATTTTCCAAAGGAAAGACAGTTTGTTTTTTTAAAAAGGATGTGCCACCATGTGTTTGTTTTTCTCTCCTCATCATATGAATGTGTCAGGAAAGGGAATAGGAAGTTTGCATGTTTCTTTCAGTCTTTTTCTTCAGCCTTTTCCATCCCTGCTGCCCCCTTGCCATTCTAAGGTAAGTCAAGGCATTCGGGTTTCTTGTAGGTGAGTGAGAATGCAGGGAGCATGTATGGATCTTCCATTGTCCATGATGGTGAAGTAGGGATATGTCCATGAGTGAAAGAGAAATACAGCATGGTTATATTCCATAGGGTTCCTTGCAGCCAAGAGGCGGTGTGGCAGTAATTTGGTTTACATATAAATAGGATCCTTTTGTACCAATACATGAACCAAAATGCAGTTCATTTAATATTCACCCTCCGAAATGTTATACTTTTTTTAGTCAAAAAGTTTCCCAGAATATATGGCTATTGTACAAACTATACAGAAAAACCTACTCACAAAAAATGCAAAACTGTGTACAAATTTCATGTATTAGGAGAAATGTGCATGAGAAATCATGAATGATAGAACAAAACAAAGGTGTCCTTCACTGGTGAGTAAATGATGCCAAAAAATGTTTCTACAAATTGGCTACTTAACTCTTATAATCAATGCATTGGTACAGTGTTGTTACTGGGAATTTGGAGAGTGTGTAAGTCCTTATGTATATGAAAACTTTATCAGTAACTCTGCAGAAAGCAGAATTAAAGCAAATGTAGAAGCATTTGCTGATCTGACTTATGTAATGGTAATCTTTTCATGCAGATTAACAGAATAGTGTAAATATTAATATTATATAAGTAATAATATTACCATTTACAATCAAACACTCATTTTTAACTGACCTAGTCCTAACTCAGATTTCCAAGACTTAAACAATAACAGGAAAGCACCCTATTTCAAAAGTGCTGGCCTGTAATTCAGTAGTTAAACAAAAGCCTGTGCTTATTTCTTCAGCTTTTTGGAACATACATTTATAATTTTTTATAGCACTTTCAATCAATCCATTTACTTCTGGATATCTTTTTTTCAAAATGGCACCCTATAAAATCCATCAGGAGCATGGATACAAAGTTTGTGAAACTTTGTAAGGTGATGATGTGATGGAAAATAGCGTGGATGTAGAGGGTGAAAAGGAGCTATGGAAGATTAGGTGGGTAGGCAATTTGTAGTGGATGGTTGTGATAAGCTAGATGTACACACAGAAGGATTGAATAAGAAAGGATTTAAATTTAAGGAAAAATTGCCAGCTCAGGCAGAGTTGGCATGGGAATGAGAAATGGACCAGTATGCGGCCAGAGAATGGCAGATGTGGTCAAACAGCAAAGGTCCAGGGTTCTGGGATTGCTGTGGCTGCAAGGGATGGACCATGGGGGCAGGGGCTGCAATTAGAAGCTTGTTGGCTGGCCATAAAAAAGAAAGAGAAGGTAGCGGGATAATGGTGTGTAGTGGCGATGAGAAGACGACCTAGTAGGAACTGTGGCACTTGTTAAGAGAAGACAGGATGAAGATCCACAGATCTTGAGATAGGCAAACGGCACATGAGAGGCACTGTAGTTGGGTCTGCTGCCACCATTGGGTTTATTCTGTGGTTTTTACATCTTAATTAAATTGACATCCATTACCTTGGGTTGGGGGTGCCATGTTTTACCACAATAGTTGTTATTCAACCAGTAACATATCCAACATGCAGACTATTTAAATTGGAAATTTCTGAGTGATGAGAATAATAATGAAAAACTAATAAATGTGGTGCTAATATTCAGATATATCTATTTCACCTTTAGATCAAGAGCTCAAAGCAACATTGATAATCATAGGTGGTTTTTGTGACATAAGAACCATTTGACTTGAAAATTTAGTGTTTTATTTTGATGTGATAGAGGAACAACTCTTAATGTTTGATGGGATGGATGAGTAAGACCTAAATAGGAAGCTTGAAGAACGAATTCCTAGCACACACAGGAACGGAACATTTTAGAAGATCATAACAATCTGATTTTCATTCGGTAATAATTGGAGAATAACCTTTCTGTGCTCTCCCAGACTAAGACTAAGTCTGTATTGAAATAATCAGAAAAATTGTTATAGTTCTAAGTGAAAGAAAATGCATAAACTCTGTATAACAAAGTTTTTTTTTCTGAGCAAAATAACTGAAACATAACTAACATATTCCTTAGCATGTAAGAATTGCCAATTATTCTGTCACATAATAACTATTTTTGCTTTTCATATATCCTTGTTATTGCTGTGTGCCATATAACTGAATTATTGCTATTGATTAACCTGCAATAACTTGATACATTTGAGTGAAAGAATATTTTGGCAATCAGATTTTTTTTACATTACATTTATATTAAGTATATATATTGTGAGTACAAGACTCCAAGATGCATTTAAACCATAAAAAGGAACAACCCGTTCCAAAGAAGATCTGTATGCATCCAGTTACTTGTCCAGACTATAGCTGGGCATCAGGGGATTCTTCATCGGTAGTCCTAAATAGATTTGATAATTTATGTATTTCTGACACATCACATAGGGTTTTCCCCCCCCAAAACTATCAATATCCTGATTAGTTTCAGCCTGATTTTTAACATTTTTCAATGCCTGAATGATTTGCATAGATGCAATCAACCTTCTCATGTCTCAGAAATTAAAAAATTATGCTCTGTTATTTTCTTCAATGAGGTACTTTTAAGTAATGATTGTGACAGAACTTAAGCTTAAATTAATTTCTTGGCAACACTATGGAAAAAAGTATACAATTCACTTCTTTTGGCTATACTTTTTGTGACCCTACTTAGTGTTATGAGGTCACCCAAAGACAGCTGGATGCTGCCACCTAGCTGGGCAAGACTAACTTACTTCCAAGGATGGTAATGCATTTCAAAGTCATAGTTTTGCAACTATATCTGTCTGTGTTAATGATTTAAATATCAATAATACTATTTATTAAACAGGTAATAATGTTATAATTTATAGCAATTCATTTTTAAATTATCAGTCACAGACCACAGAAGTGATTCACTCAAATTCCCAAACTCTTAAAGAAATACTGAAATCATTACAGCATAATTTTGCTGCAAAGCCTGCATCAGACATAAGAAAAAAAATGAATGATTTGTATGTATGAACACACAAGTGGTCAAGATAACTCTAAATCCCAATAACTATTGTTGAATATCATTATCGTGAAAAAGTATTCTTTCTGTCAGTGGAACCTCCATGGTTATCCCTTTATGTAAAGCAAAGGATGTTATCCTTAGTCTGTGTAAGGGAAATATATGTCATTTAAATACATTCATTATTCTTAATTATTTTTCTTACAATGAGCATACTTAGAATACTTAGATTTATTCTAATATATAGAAGTGTCAGTTTGTCAAATAGTAACCTAGAAATAATTGTGAAACTAGGTTTTCTAAATTGATATAACTGTCTAATGATTTTTAATTTTTTACCCATGTCCATCATTGTACTTCCAAATAATTTTAAGAAGCTTATTCCAACAGTCATTGTTTAGTAATATTATGTAACAATTAAAGCCTTTCTATTAAAATCTGTATTACCCAGTGTAAAAAAACAGAATGAGAAACTTCCTGCCCAATTCATCTTTTCCCTAAATAAATGTGTATAATTGGAACTTCAACTGGCCATTCCTACCACTGATAATATATTACCCGTGTAGCCTTAGTAATGGAAGGATGGCTTATCCCTGGACCTAATCCTCTTTTGATAATCAGGGTGTCCAAATGGTTCTTTCCTTGAAGGTTTGACTTTATCCATCTAGTCTTCTCTCTGCTTGATAGAATATGAATTGAGAGAGCTAATTGCTGAAGGATTTGCTGCTCTCCTGCATCAATGATCAAAAGCACAGCAAATTCATTTCAGGCAGTCTCAGTTGTTTCTTGCCTCTGCCTTTAGGGGGGAAGATTATGATGTATTATCATTATCTAGGAATTAGGTGTCTATCCAATTGCCTCAGAACTACTGTGCCTTTGAGAAGTTTAATATGCTTTGTTTTATGTACTTCTGACTGGCATCAAACATCTAGAAAACTAGTGTGTCATATTAACAGTTTTATATTCTTGTCTAGTAATACTTTCAGATTTCATTCTTTGTATTATATGTTAAGGGGTTGTAGAAAATAGTGTGCCAGAGTTTTTAGAATCGCTGTTATCTTTGATGAAAATAATCTAAGATTTTAGCATGCATTGTATATTCAGCTTTACTATGTTTATGATCAATGTGAATAATCGTTGAGTTTCTATGCATTCTTGTGGTTGCACAAATGTTGATGCCAAACATCACAGAAATGTTTCCAGTTAATGGGTGTTCAGTTTAATAATGAAATATTCATTTGAAAGAGTAAATGTTTGTTCTAGACATGGTATTTTTTCCAATATCAAGTACTTTAAAAAATCATAGCCAAAGTTAAAATCTGAGAGAAAAGATAGCAAGCTAGCACTGTAATCCTATGTATATCTGCAGAACTAAAAATAAGTTCATTGAGTAAAATGGGTGTTTCTTCCAGATAAGCATATATAATTGGCTAGAATACCTGTGGCTCTCCAGTTCTTAATAGCTATTTAAACTACATTATATAATCAAGTGTTTATAATAGATGGTTTGATAAGATGTCATTAATTTAGTTCAGAGTTGATAATTGTTGTAGCTTTCCCCCTTCTATTTATAAAGAAACACCAAGCTAATAATTTCACGGACTAAGAACAATCATGGCAGAGGTTGGATATTTGAAGCCACTTTCACACTATGGCAATGTGTGAATGATTCCTTACTGGTTAAAAAACTGGTCAAAGAGGATTAAATAGGATTAGTAAGAGTATTGCCCTCCCAGAAATAGCCTTAAGACACTAAGAGAAGAACCTAGTCAGGCAGTAAATGCTTTTGGTTTGACCAGGGCCATAACCTTGGCTACATTCCTTCAAGAATTGGAATGGAGAAAGTTAAATCCTCTAAACTGGATTAGTAAATAATCTCATTGTTTGTGGTATCTGCTGGAGTAAAGCAACCAGTTGGCTACATTCTTAGAGTTTTGTAGAGAGTTAACAGAAGCATTGGCCACAGTGATCAAATATGAACTTAAATTGGCTATAACTGAATGGAATGGGCTAATTCATAAATTGTAGATGTCAGTTAATTTAATGGTTCTAAATATTTGGACTTTCCTCAAGGAAATGTTTCACATACATAAAATATTTTCAGGGCATGACTGTAGTTTTTGGATGGCAAGAATCCAAAATAACACTGTGTTTTTCTGGAAGGAGATAGAATCTACTTGTGAATGACACTAACCACTAAGTATTTGGAAATAATTTATTATATGCAGTTATCTTCCTTTCTGCTTTAGGTTTAGAATCAATAATTCATTCAATAAAAATTTATCTTCAGTTGCAATACTAGGACAGAAGGAAGGACACTGCAGCAAAAGCAATACTATAGCCATTTTTAAATTTGCTGTGTTTTTTTTTTTCCAGTAAAGGGTCTTATTAGTGACTTTCATTTGAAACCTACTTGGTAATGGTAACTCCAGCTAAGATAAACAAGCACATCACTTTTCAGTTATATGTATAAAAGTATGAGATACTGTAATTTTGTAATACTTGTATTACACATCTCCTTCACTGTGGCTGCTTGAGCTGCTATCCTGTCTATTCTATTCTATACACAAGTCATTGTTTTATAAGAATTATGTTTTACCAGGATAATATTTTCTAATGGCACATAGTTTAAATCTTTATCAAACCTTTATTATATCTATAAGGTCAACAGTCAGAAAAAACTAAAGCAGGTAAAAATGAAAATATGTAAATCTAAAAAACAAAACAAAACCCAATTTGGTGTAGTGGTTAAGGTGTTGGCCTACAAACCAGGAGACTGTGAGTTCTAGTCCTGCCTTAGGCATAGAAAACTGGCTGGGTGACTTTGGGCCAGTCACTCTCTCTCAGCCCAGCTCACCTCGCAGGGTTATTGTTGTGGGGAAAATAGGAGGAGGAAGGAGTTTTGGCATGTTTGCTGCCTTGAATTGTATATGAAAAAAAGGCAGGATAAAAATCTTAAAAAAAAAAAAAAGCTGGAAACCAATCAGTGACTCAAATATGCTATGTAAAGATATTTCTGGTGTCACTGAAATCTAATGGACAGAGCCTCTCCAGAGAGACTCCGACGGAGTGAAGCTTGCCAGTAACTCTTTTTAATCGGGTTAAAGATTGGGATCAACAAAACTTGTCATTAGTAGCATCTTCTCAGTTTGAATCTGGTACAGGGTAGTCCCTAGTTTAAGAACGAGTTCCATTCCCAAGGTCTGTCCTTAAGTTAAATTTGTTTGTAAGCCAGAACAGTATTATCATATAATACTGTATAAGTAGTATTGTGTAATTAACTCAAACCATTGTGTATTTAACTCAAATCATTGTGTATTTAACTCAAATC